AGTAGTAATGATCCCAACTGGTCCTGTGAATGAATCTTCAGGAAAAGAATTTCAGGCCTGGCAATTTGGGGAGCAGCACCCCAAAAGACCAAAAGAGACACCCGGATGACAATTCCTACCCTTAGGATACAGCAACAGAAATTCGCAACTCTTGCCAAATAAATTGCAGCTAATATCCTGAGATAGTTCCTCAAATTACATTTCTGCCTTGTGCCACTATTTCCAGGTAGCACTCATATTATCTGACCAAACTAGGGCATAAGCCAAAATCCATATTCTGTGCGGGGGTCACTTTCACGTAGGTCAAATACAAAAGCTTCACCATGACTCCATCTGCTCTGTGAATTACAAGAAGAGACACAAACATGTCTTCCATTCTGCTGTATGAAGAGAAGCCGTTGCTAAGGGAATAGGACACTGGCCTTTGCTTGCAATTATCACAAGAACAGTCATTCTCCATGTATCCCCTGTGGATTTCTAGACACAAAGATCTTCCAGGATAAAAGTTGCTTTAAAAAATACCTCTGAGTTCACAAGAGGTAGAACGTGTCACCTGAGCCTGATTTGCAAAGATCTAACATCCAGGAGCCACAAGTGGTGTCTGATCTGCTAAAGTGTCAGTGAGATTTCAGGAGCAAACGTTGAATCAGTTTCTGCATAAACCTTGATTTCTGCTCTAGGAGGGAAGGTGATAATTATGACCGGGCAGGAGTCATGCTGCTTCTGATGCTGATGCTCTTCTGGCTCCAGGCTCCAACTATAGCGAAGAGGCTTCAAACTATATGTGAGCTCAGAGATTATATCGATTTAAAGGAGAGCTACTATAGGCCTGGTGATCTCATTATTGGTGGGAATTTGCCCTTGGGAACCATTTATAAGTCTCCTGTCCAAGAGTTTAATAAAGTGAATCGTCATCTACAGAATGTGTAAGTCTCAACTGGAGGGGAAACTTGCAGATAATTATTTTCTTTGCTTTAAATTCGGGGACTATTTTTAGAAATACTTCTTCTAGTATTTGTACTGTCCTGGTGTAGTGCACATGTTGCGCTTTTCTCAATAAAATACCAAGTTCTTCAAATAAGCTGGAATTCTCAATCTCTTCATCAGGAAGATGATAAAACAGCAAAAATGAAAAGGGAAGCTGTGCTGGCCTAGTGAATAAATCGAATTATAATATTAATCTGACTAGTAACTTCTGGTAGAAAATTCAAATAAAAGGTCAACACTCTTCCAGTGTTCAGGAGTTACAAAAATCCCTCTCAGTGTTGGAATCAGCATTGCTCATGAATATGGGCCTTCAGTAAATCTATGAGGAGACCCCACTGTAGTCCTGTGCTCAGCAATCTTTACCACACCTGAAGAAGCTGCTCCAGGAGAGACCTTAAATACTTCCAGTGAAAGGGAAGCAGTTGGAAAGGATTTCAGCCACTGGAGCAAAGTGAATATGGCAGGGATGATAGAGAGTATAAACCAGTCCATAATATCTATGGAAAGGCTTGTCTCCTTTCTCACAAAGTCATCCAAGTTTAGCCAAGGGAAATCCTTTGAAAAAAACCAAACCCAATGAAATTTGGGAGTTTCTGCCCTCAAAAGTCCCCCCAAACAGTGAAGCAAATTCTACAGCCATGCACAAGCTTTCCTGTAATGTTCTCCAATGTTTTTCTCACTACAGATTCATACCTGGTAACTACCAGCAGTTCCTTGCATTGATGTTTGCTGTCTCTGAGATCAATAAAGATTTTCTTCTGCTCCCCAACATCACCCTTGGCTTCCACATCTACCGCCATTCCCAGAGGGAGATATATATTTCTTTAAACAGCCTTTCCATGCTCTCCTCACGAGGCCAAGTGGTTCCAGGGTACAAATGTCACCTGCAGGACACTCTGCTCTCCATCATTGGTGGTCTCAATGCCAGGTCCTCAAGGCTGATGGCCTCCATCTTCAGCATCTTTAAGGTCCCACAGGTAAGTGAGCTCCATTGGATACACTATGGAATAGACAAAGATCAAAATACACACAGAGAAGCCAAAGAGGAAACTAAAATTAGGGAGGGCATATAATGAGTTTGTGACTGTTAGATTATCCTTTATCAAAGAGTAGCCATCATTTTAGTGTCATCTATTCTCTGTATCAGGTTGTTGGTTTCTTCTCTTGTCTTCTGATGTACCACAACTAATAAAAATGGCTAAGAAGGGAAGAAGATGAAGTCTGCTTTTCAAAGTGAGTCAGCCTGTCTATGAGGGCCATCACCTAGACAATGGTAACTACTAAAGTCTACATAAAACTTTTACTTTGTCTTTGAAAGATGAATCTCATTTTTTCCAGCTCGGTGTTGGCTTTGAGTTCTCTCAGGAAGAGAGAAGAGTTTATCCTTCCTTCTTCCAGATTAATCCCAAGGAATCTACTCAGTATGTGGGTTTAGTGCAGCTGCTCCTGTACTTCCAGTGGAACTGGGTTGGTCTTCTGGCCCCTCAAGATGACAATGGAGAACGTTTCGTCTCAACTCTGACGCCAATGCTCCAGGAGAAGGAGATCTGCCTGGCCTTCATTCTAATGCTGAAATTGGATAATGTTAAACTCACTCGGAAAAACTTTGTTCTCTATTTCCGCACCTGGTCTAAAGCAGAAGTGTTTATTCTGTATGCCGACTTAGCTGTTACTCTCACTGTAATAGGGGTGGTACAGTTATTTGAAGATACCTTGAAAGTATCATTTAGGAAAGTTTGTATCTTCACTTCCCATTGGAAACTTGGCGTGGAAGAATCTGAATACACATTGCAATTTATAAAGCGTTTGCATGGGGTCTTGCATTTTAGGGACCACTCCAGGGATGTCTCTGAATTCAGCCACTTCCTCCTGTCTTTAGACCCCTTGAACCCCCAAGGAGATGTCTTTCTCCCTCCATGGTGGGAAAGAGTCTTTGGCTGCAAGATCCATAAATCAGGAAAGATCCCTCCAAAGGGGGAAAAACAATGTACAGGAAAGGAGAATGTGCAGAATCTGCCCAATTACACTTTTGAAAAAAGAATGACAGGAGAAAGTTACAATATCTACAATGCTGTTTATGCTCTGGCACACGCTTTACATGCAATGCATGGATCCAGAGTTGGACAGACCATGATGAGGCTTAGAAAGAGGATCTCAGATGTCCAATCATGGCAGGTAATTTCTCTGGCTTTTTACTTAGTCCACATAGATTGGAAACTTCCCATATGATTTTTTTCAGTTCCTGATTAAGTGTTTGCATGCTCCCATACCAATTCATCTGAGACCCTGCCCTTTTTTTTTTAGTTTACCATTTGTTGTGCTACTCAGCTTGCTGTGTGAAAAGAGCTTCTGATTAATAATGGATGGAAACTAACCAAGGAGAGAAGCAACCTAGAACTAGGAGGAACTTCTTAAGGAACGGTTTACTTTAGAAACCATGGGTGCCACATTGCTGGAGTCATTTAAAAAGAGACAGGATGGCCACTTGTCTAAAACGGTAGAGGGTCTGTTGCTTGAGCAGGGGGTTGGACTAGAAGACCTCCAATGTCCCTTCCAATACTGTGATTCTGTTTCTATGACAACCACAGCACAGAGCAAGATTCAAAGTGGTCCTAATGGGTTCCTGGTCTGAAATTCACCAGAATGTTCTGTATCAAAGGCTGAAATGTTGGACCTCTCTGAATAGTGAAGTGACCAACCAGGTCAGATGCTTCCTTCCACATGGCCCAGTAGATCAAACCTGGTTCCTGCCTTCTGCTGCCTTTGACAATGAGCTAGAGAAAATCAGTGGAATTTTCCATGGTTCTGATAGAAATGATTTATTCATTTCAAACATTCATTTATCAGTTAAGAAGGCCTTGGGCCAAAGGAACTATTGGAAATTGCATATAGCCAAGTCTCACAAGAGGAAAAGCCTAAGATTAAAGTTAGATTGTGGAACTAAAATTCTTCTGTTTTGGTGAAATACTAGTTGGAAACCATGCCCAGTGACAAAGGGAAAACTTAGTTTCAGAGTTCAACACACCAGATTCCTCAGATCACTACCGAGAGATGGAACTAACTTCTCAAATATAAACCCATCTTCTCAAAATGTCAATCATGTTGTGATAGAAACGACAATGTCTCATTTGTAGCTCTAGCCCACATACTCCTATTTCTAAAGGTCTCTTTTCTTTCAGATTCTTCCCTATTTGAGCAATGTGCAGTTCAACAACAGTGCTGGAGATGAAGTCTCCTTCTCAGAAGATGGACTGGGATCTGCTCGTTATGATCTTCTCAATTGGCTTTTCCTCCCCAATCAATCTTTTGTCCCCATGAAGGTTGGGCAAGTAAATCCTGAGGCTCCCCCAGGCCAGGATTTCACCATTAACTCTGATGGAATCATCTGGGCCACAAAGGTGAGCTGCAAGGAAATGTTGTAAGCTTAGGGAAAGATTCATTCTCTTCCTGAGATGCAGGACATCTTTCCATTGCTGCTCAGTTGTATCTTCATGGTTCTTCCTTTAAAAATTCAGGAAGAATTTTTAGGAATTCTTAGGAATCCTGAGGATTCTTCCTCAGGAAGAATCCAGAGGAAGGATTGTGGTTCAGTCACAATCCTTCCTCTGCAGGATGAAACCCCAGTTCTAATCTCTCTCATCCATGGGGGCGTCAGGAAAGCCAGTGGCCTGAATCCCTCAGGAGCTGTTCCATATTTCTTATAGACAGTGGCAGTGTATCTCTTTAGAAGCCGCCCTGAGTCTCCGGAGAAGGGCGGCATATAAATTGAACCAAGAAATAAATAAACAAACAAACAAACAAACAAACAAACAAACAAACAAATAAGAGAACCTGAACATAGCAGTAGAATGGGGAAAAGAATGAATGCAGCAGGTTCATTGCTTAAGTAATTTCAAATACTGATCTTTCAGACCATCCCCATTGCCAGGTGTGGCATGAAGAGGTGCCATGCAGGAGAGAGGAGAAGAGTTCCAGAGGGCAGCCAGGTTTGTTGCTACCAATGTGACCCTTGTTCAGAAGGGACCATTTCTAATCAGACAGGTACAACAGATTTCAAATCTAAATCTTTAGGTATCAAGATAGACATCCATTAAATCAATATATTTTTGTTATTCTGATCATTTTTTATAAAATTGATATGCATTCATACTTGTCAATAGAACGTTTTAGTTTATAGATCTAAACTGCCACAGAGGCCACCTTTCCCGACCCTCAGCAAGGATAGTTTGAGGGCAAAATTTATGAGTCCCCAACATCCATTTCTGCTTCTACTGTCACATCCAATTGGGAAACAAACTTCCAATCTTTTCCTGAGTAAGAGGGATATGAGGGATAAGCTTTTATTTGATTATTTAGTGCCTGCTTCTTCCGGCATCTCTATCACCTCTGAGGAAATGGACCTGCCAGAGAAAGAGGAGATCCATCTATTTATGTCTCTTTGACAGAGCAGGAGGAGGAATGAACAGATTTGACCTACAAAGGAGAGAGATTAAGGCTATAAGGTTAAGGGATGATGTACAAACAAACAAAACACCAGAATTCACTGATAACAGATCTGTCTGTCTTCTGTGGGTTCCATTATAAAATGGTAGGAAAAAAACTGAAAGTCATGGAAGTGCACAGTGAATGGATAACTGGAACTGCATAAATCCTTGTCTCTGGCTCATCTACCCCCAAGTTCATCATATATGAAGGATGATTTGCTCTTTTTGATGTACCATAAATTGCACAGGGGTTCTTTCATTCTTTCCTTTGTGGTAGGTCAACAGCAGAAAGTCAACACTCATATCATTTATATGGGAGGGATAATATGCATGGTAGTTGCTCATGTAATCTTTAGACAAAAACCTCTGATTGCAGATGCAGCTCACTGTGAACCCTGCCCAGAAGACCAATTTCCCAACAAGGACAAGGACCAATGCATTGCCAAGAAGATCCACTTCCTTGCCTATCAAGACACCCTGGGATACACTTTAGTTTTTCTTGCTCTTTTTCTCTCTGGGATCACTTCTGCAGTCCTGGTGATTTTCTATAAACATCATGACACACCAATCGTCAAGGCCAACAACCGAGATCTCACCTACATCCTCCTGGTCTCCCTCCTGCTCTGCTTCCTCTGCTCCTTCCTCTTCATTGGTCAACCAGGGAAGATCACCTGTCTCTTCCGACAATCTGCCTTTGCCATTCTCTTTTCCCTGGCAGTTTCCTCTGTGTTGGCAAAAACTGTCATGGTGGTTTTGGCCTTCATGGCCACCAAGCCTGGAAACAGGTCAAGGAAACTCTTAGGAAAACCACTGACCAACTCCATTGTCTTAGCCTGTCCCCTGATCCAAGCTGTCCTTTGTGCTTCCTGGCTGGTAACCTCCCCTCCTTTTCCCAGTTGGGATTTCCGCTCCTTGTTTGGAGAGACCATCTTGGAATGTAAGGAAGGCTCAGCTGTAATGTTTTACATTGTCCTCTCTTATCTAGGACTTTTGGCCCTCATCAGTTTCACAGTGGCATTTCTAGCTAGGAAATTGCCTGATAGTTTTAATGAAGCCAAGTTCATTACTTTTAGCATGCTGGTCTTTTGCAGTGTTTGGATCACTTTCCTCCCCACCTACCTGAGCACCAAAGGGAAGTCCATGGTGGCTGTGGAGATCTTCTCCATTTTGGCCTCTGGGGCTGCTCTCTTGGCTTGTATCTTTTTTCCCAAATGCTACATTATTCTACTGAGGCCAGATCTGAATTGCAGAGAAAATATAGTAAGAAACAAAAATTTCTAACTAATGCAAGGATCGGTCTCATTTATATTTATCTTTGAGATGTGAGTGTGATGATTTCTAAAAGATGATGGCATAAAGGAGGTATTTCTCCATTAAAAATTCCTTATCAGATGCTTCAACTGGTTAGAATTTAACTGTGGTCAGCAACAGTTTTGCGCCTCAAGGTTTTGGTCACCACCTTTAGAGCACTCCATGGCTTAGGACCTGGTTATTTACGGGACCGCCTGCTGCCACCAATAGCCTCCCACCGGCCAGGACGCTCTCATAGAGAGGGGCTCCTCCGGGTGCCGTCGGCCAAACAGTGTCAACTGGCGGCCCCCAGGGGGAGAGCCTTCTCTGTGGGAGCACCTGCTATCTGGAACGAGCTCCCCCTGGAGATACGGAGGATCCCAGATCTATGCACCTTTCGCCGCACTCTCAAGACTTTCCTATTTCAACAGGCCAGCCTGGCCTAACTTTTTCTTTTCCTTTTTTAATTCAAAAAATGAATTTTAAATTTGTCTTAAAACATTAGGGTTGTTTAAATTGTCACGGGCCAAATTATTTAATCAGATTTTATACTGTTTTTAAATTTTGTAATTTATGTGTTTTATCTGGCTGTTCACCGCCCTGAGTCCTGCGGGAGTAGGGCGGTATATAAATCTAATAAAATAAATAAATAAATAAATAAATAAATAAATAAATAAATAAATAAACAAACAAACAATCACCCAGTCTTTTATTTATCATGCCTTCAAAGTATCTTTGTGTTGTCCAGTGCCCGATGTGGATGGAAAACTATTTATGATGAGTAAATTAACGTATGAAATAAACAAGGATGAGAACTCAGAGTATTATACTGTGTGGGAAAGGTGGTATGAATGGATGAACAATAGAATTAAAGAAGGAGTATAAGGTACGATAAATAAGTAGCAATAAATTGCTTAAGTGACACCAGATATATTTTATGTACATATGTATAAACACTGCAGATCCGATGTTAATAGAAATGAGATTTCTGTTTTGTATATATATAAAACTTAATAAAGTATATTTTTTTTAAAAAAGGAAAACTATTTATGAAAGATGTGTTCATTATTTCAAGGAGGACATTTCACATTCTATTCTTTTTAATTTAATTATTTTTAAGGTAGTGATTTAAAGGGTTGGTATCAGTGCTTTTAAGCATGTTTGGTTGTTTCCTTAGATGTCTGAGGCTTTATAGAGATCTCTACCAGTATTCAATTATTTTTAATAACATCTCCCTTTCCATAAAATGACCTCTCGTATGAGAAATAGAAACAATGGAGGAATGGATGCTAATTGGCCCATGAAGTAGCAGACTTGAATTCTCTGGTTTTCAATGAGCTTTATCAAAAATTTCTATGGCAACATAACTGACATACTTTTTCATTGAGAGAATATTTCTCTGCTGAAAAATAGAAGAGTAGCAACATAATTGATAGTTTGTTAATTATGAATAGGTACTTACATCATCTATTCCTTATGCATATGTCATTTTCTAGAAGCTCTAGCTCAGATATGTCGAACACAAGGCCCATCCCACCCCAATGCACACATAGGAGTTGGCAAGCACGCTGGAGCCAATGGTGTTTTGTAGAAGCTGCAGCCCACTGGTGCACACTGTGGCTCCACAGCCCATTCTGGGCAGGTGGGTCTGAGTGCTGGGACCACCAGGCTGGCCCTCCAAGCAGCAGGCGGAGGTAGAGCCATGGGGGTCAGGCATGTGATCCAGCCTGCCGAACGCACTGGCAGCCACCCACTCACCCGTCCACTCTGATCCACCGTTTGTTTTTGCTTGCCCATGACCATCTCAGCTGGGATGGGGCAGGCAGCTGTGTGACCACTTTGAAGGCCAAATCTCATGCCCCCCACCATGCATCTGCTTCCACCTGGTCCTGGTGCTGCCACCATGGGTCTCAGCCCACACCGTCCAAACCTCCTCCACCTCCACTGGATATTTGGCAAAGAGCAGAAGCCCCCATCCCCAACAGGAAGCTGGGACTTTTTTTTAAAAAAAATGATTTATATGCCGCCCTTCTCGGGAGACTCAGGATGGCTTACAATGCGTTAAGTAATAGCCTTCATACTTTTGTATATTTATACAAAGTCAGCTTCTTTCCCCCACAAACTGGGTCCTCATTTCACCTACCTTAAAAAAGAATGGAAGGCTGAGTCAACCTTGAGCCTGGCGAGATTCGATCTTACTTTAATTGAAGACAGCTGGTGTTAAATTACAGAGCTCTATTTGTTGAGCTATCCAGGCTCAACAGAGCAGAGTGGGACTTCCCTCCCCACTCTGCCTCTCCAAGGCCCAGAGCTGACTCACCACACCCTGAACCCACATATCTCAGAGCCCCACAGCTAAGCAAGCCATGCCTCGACCCCTGCCTCATCTTGTATAAGCAACACCAGCAGGAACAGCCCCCTCCATCAGGAGCCCCACTATCCCTCACCACCCCCACCAGCCCAGGAAGCCCAGCCCAGGCAAGGAGAGTCAGCAGAACAGCAGCAGCCTGGACAGGAGGCAAGTAGGCCCAGGCATCCCATTGGGGAAGTGCGGCTGGGCTGCAGACTCCCAGTGTCCTTGGAGCTCAAGGGTCAGGTTTCTGCTGCCCAGGACCCCAGGCAGCCCATGCTGCCATCCAGGGCTGTCCCCCATGGCCCAAGACGGTCAGTGAGGCTCCTCTGGTGGATGAGTGTCTGGCACGCACTCTGGTCCCACCCCCCACCCCCCGATGTGAGGAAGGTCAAGCTGGCCATGCCTATCCTGGTCACACCCACTGCAATCACCCAGCCATGCTCCCCCCTGCCCCCCTCAGACAATAAACAATTCTGATCCAACTCCCAATGAAATGGAGTTTGACATCCCTGCTCTAGCTCTTGTTCCACCAGATTCACCCCTCAGGTTTCTTCAGCAGAGCTCTAGATGTCTCTTGATCCATGGTAGGATTCAAATCATTTAACAACCGGTTCATCCAGGGTCACGTTGGCTGTCGTTGGAGGCATGGCCCATCCCATGGGAGGCATGGACCATCCTGAGCCTCCTGTGAGAAGCCAACCTGACCCTGGGCGAACTGGTTGTTAAATCCCTCCACCCCACAATCAAAGGGTTCTGGGCACTGCACTGCAATGGAGAAACGGGAAATGGAGTGGCCAGCACAAGGGGAGGAGGAGAGCAGTGAAAGAGGCCTCCTTCCCTCACTCTGGGCGCTCCCTTTCCTGTTTCTCCATTGCAGCCCAGGGCCATGGCGCCTGCCCCACCCACCACCACCCAGATGCCCTCGCTTCTCCCAAACGTTTCTTTGCCTCCCTGATTTCCAGCTCCGTCGCATTTCTCTCTTGCGTTTCTCACCATTGTGTGCAGAGAAACAAGTTTGTGGGACTAAAAAAAATTACTCAATCAATTCCAACTTCATGAGAGCTTTTTTCGTGAGAAGTTGGAATTGATTTATTGAACTTTTGTTTTCTTTAGTCCCACACAATATTGTTTCCCTGCGCACGATGGTGAGAAATGTGACGGAGCTGGAAATCAAGTAGGCAAAGAAATGTTTTGGGGAAGTGAGGGCATCTGGGCGGTGGTGGGTGGGGCAAGTTCTTTGGCCCACAAAAACCTTGTCTTTGGCAGCTGACCCTGAAAAGCAGAGAAAGAATTTCTGGGAAGAAGCCAGTCAGCCTGGGAGTTGGGAATACTTTCTCCCCTGCCCCAGTCCTCCTCACCTGCCACCCCCAAATTGCATCAGTAAAGGTGGCTGGTGGCTACATGAGGGTCAGGAAGCCCTGCCATGCCCAGTGAGGGGGGGAGAAATGGCAAGAGGAGCCTTGTCTCACTCCTTGTGACCCAATGAAAGGAAGTGGCAGCCTGACCACTTCCCTTCCTCACCCTCTCCGGTGCTGGAAGCCAACTGTCAGACACAGGCCCAGCTGCCCATTTATCCCTCTCACTCTTTGCGTCTCTGGGCTCAACCAGTGCCACAGTCCACCGTGCAGGCCTAGAAGGGTGAACCTATGGCATGGCGATGGGCAGCAGCAGCAGTGGCCAGGCGTGCTTGGATAAATGATCTATGAACTCATGCAGGCGGATGTAGAGCATGCCCAGGAAGCAGACGCAAGCCCAGAGGGCAGCCTTACTCGGGTGCAGCAATGGTGGCAGCTCTGGAGACATCTGTGGGAGAGGAGGGGAAGGAGGAGGAGGGGTGCTGAGCTGGGCCCATGGAGAGAGGGAGGGCCTACCTGCAAGCCACCGCCCATGAAGAGGCTGCCCGGGTAGCCACTCAGTGCCCGCAGCAGCTCGTGTATCATGGTGCAACACAGGAACCAAGCCTGAGCCCCTCTTTGCAGGAGCCCCAATGACTTAGCTTGCCCACCTGTTCATCACTCCATTCCGCTCCCTCCAAGCGCCTTGTCAGAGCTCCCTTGGGGTCTTGCCTGCACTGATGTTGCTTGCTGGGAGGGGGAGGGGGGCAGTAAGAAGAGCGCTGAGCTGCCAAAATGGCCTAAGTAGAGCCGGACAAGGCCAGGAGTGACTTGGAGGGGAGGGGCAAGCCATGAGGGGGGCCTGGGCATGGTTTTGCACACAAAGTTAACTACCAGTTCGGCAAAACCAGTGCAAACTGGCTAAATCCCACCACTGTTCTTCATCCTATTTACCACCCTCAGTTGAATGATGGGGCATGTTGGGAACAATGGACCAAGAGACGCTGCATGCAAGTGATCCTATCCAAGGCCTCAATAGCTTTCCTATTCCAGGTTGTAGCCAAGGCCTCAGAAGGACCATAAAAGCCTTGGGTATAATCCTCGGTTCCCTTTGGAGCCCCATCAGTCACTAAGAGTGGATTGGTCAAATAGATCCGGCCTTCCTGCAGAGATGGGAAGCATAAATGAATCTCAAAGCCATCAGGCCATGATCTGACCAGGACAAAGGGGACCAGGATAGCTCCTCCTCAGATCCCATTGGAAGTGGTCTGCTTTGAGTTGAGCCAAGAATGATGGTGGCCATGGTGAGATGCCTCTAAGGCCTGCCCCAGGGATGGCAAATGGACATCTCTCAAGACCATAAGTCTGGGGAACCCCACAGTCAACTGAGAAATGCCCTCCAGAGGCTCAGACAGGGAGGTTGCCCTGCAGCAGGAAGGCTGGTACAGTGGCAACGATTCCAACTGGTTCTTTTTTTTTTTTTAATTTGATTTATATGCCACCCTTCTCTGGAGACTCAGGGCAGCTTACAATGTGCTCAGCAATAGCCTTCACCCTTTTGTATATTTATACAAGGTCAGCTTATTGCCCCCACAAACTGGGTCCTCATTTTACCTACCTTAGAAAGGATGGAAGGCTGAGTCAACCTTGAGCTTTGGTGAGATTTGAACCTGCAATAATTGCAGGCATCTGATTTTAATAACCAGCTTAATAACAGGGTGCCTTAGACCACTGTACTACCAAGGTTCAGTAGGAAAAGAATTTCAGACCTGGCAATTTGGGGAGCAGCACCCAAAAGACCCAAAGAGACACCCAGATGACAACTGCTACCCTTAGGGTACAACAACAGAAATTTGCAAGTCTTGTCAAAAAAATTGCAGTTAATATCCTGAGATACTTCTTCAAATTCCGTTTCTGCCTCATGCCATTTTTTGCAAGTAGCCCTCCTATGACCTGACCAAATTAGGGCATAAGCCAAAATCCATCTTGTGTGCAGGGGTCACTTCCATGTAGGTCAACAACACAATTTCCCCATGACTCCATCTGCTCTGTGAATTACAAGAGACACAAAGATGTTTTCCATTCTGCTGCATGAAGAGAAGCTGTTGCCAAGGGCATAGGATAATGGCCTTCTCCTGCAATTATCAGAAGAACAGTCATTCTTCATGCATCCCCTCTGGATTTCTACACACAAAGATCTTCCAGGATAAAACCTGCTTTAAAAATATCTCTGAGTTCACCAGCTGGGGGCAGAACGTGTCACCTTAACCTGCCTTGCAGAGAGCTCATTCCTGGATTTGAAGAGACTCACATGCCTTTGTTTCCTCTATGGTCACAGCCCAAACACAGGTAAAAGGAAGCATTTTTGATATAAATTTCTCTTGATGCCATCCAGGTGGCAAAGTGGTGTCTGCTCTGCTAAAGTTCCAGTGAGATTTCAAGAGCAACCTTCAAATCAGTTTCTGCATAAACCTCGATTTCTGTCCTAGGAGGGAAGGTGATAAGAATGACCAGGCAGGAGTCATGCTACTGTTGATCCTGATGCTCTTCTGGCTCCTGGCTCCAACTACAGCAAAGAGGCTGCAAACCATCTGTGTGCTCAGGGATTATATCGATTTAGATGGAAGCTTCTATAGGCCTGGTGATCTCATTATTGGTGGGAATTTGCCCTTGGGAGCCATGTACATGTCTGTTGTCCAAGACTTTAATAAAGTGAATCATAATTCCGATATTAGGTAAGTTTCAGCTGGATGTGAAACATGCAGATAATTATTCTCTTTGCTTGACATTCAGGGACTTTTTTTCAAAAAAATACTTCTACTATTTGTACTGTCCTGGTGTAGTTCACATTTTGTGCTTTTTTCCATAAAGTAGCAAGCTCTTCAAATAGGTTGGAATTCTCAATCTCTTCATCAGGAAGATGATAAACAACAAAAATAAAGAAGGAAGCTGTGCTGGCTTAATGAATTGGTCAAATTATTATATTTATCTCACCAGTAACTTCTGGTAGAAAATACAAATAAAAACTCAGCACTCTTCAAGTGTTCAGGAGTTACAAAGATCCCTCTCAGTGTTGGAATCAGCATTTCTCACGAATAATGGCCTTCTGTAAATCTCTGAGATGACCCCACTGTAGTCCTGTGCTCAGCAATCTTTACCCCACCTGAAGAAGCTGCTCAAGGAGAGACCTTAAATAATTACATTACAAAAGGAGCAGCTGGAAAGGATTACAGCCACTGCAGCAGAGTGAATATGGCAGGGATGATAGAGAGTATAAAACAGTCCATGATACCTATGGAAAGGCTTGTCTCCTTTCTCACAAAGTCATCCAAGTTTAGCCAAGGGAAATCCTTTGAAAAAAACCCAAACCCAATGAAATTTGGGAGTTTCTGCCCCCAAAAGTCCCCCCAAACAGTAAAGCAAGTTCTACAGCCATGCACGAACTTTCCTGTAATATTTGCCAATGTTTTGCTCACTACAGACCCATCACCAGTTACTACCAGCAGTTCCTTGCATTGATGTTTGCTGTCTCTGAGGTCAATAAGGATTTTCTTCTGCTCCCCAACATCACCCTTGGCTTCCACATCTATGCACATTTCCAGACTGGGGTATTTATTTCCTTAAACAGCCTCTCCATGCTCTCCTCACAAGACCAAGTGGTTCCAGGTTACAAATGTGACCAGCAGGACACTCTGCTCTCCGTCATTGGTGATCTCAGTGCCAGGTTCTCAAGGCAGATGGCCTCCATCTTCAGCATCTTCAAGGTCCCACAGGTAAGAGAGCTCCACTGGATACAATATGGAGTAGACAAAGATCAAAACACACACATAAGCCAAGAGGAAACTAAAGGTAGTTTGGGGGAGGCACATCATGAGCCTGTGACTCTCCGTTTATTCTTCATAAAAGGGTAGCCATCATTTTAGTGACATTTATTTCCTGCATCAGGTTGTTGGTTTCTTCTCTTGTCTTCTGACATATCACAATCAGTCAAGAAGTGTAAGTGAAGGGCAGGAGATGAAGCTTCCCACTGAGAATCAGTCAGCCTGACTGGTGGAGCAAAATCCACACAATGGTGACTCCTAGACTTTACTTTGTCTTTGAAAGATGAATCTCATTGTTTTTCAGCTCGGTGTTGGCTTTGAGTTCTCTCAGGGAGAGAGAAGAGTTTATCCTTCCTTCTTCTGGATTAATCCCAAGGAATCTCGTCAGTATGAGGGTCTAGTCAAACTACTCCTGTATTTCCAGTGGAACTGGGTTGGGCTTTTCGCCCCTGAAGATGACAGGGGAGAACGTTTCATCTCAACTCTGACGCCAATGCTCCAGGAGAAGGAGATCTGCCTGGCCTTCACTGAAAGTTTAAAATTAGATGATATTCAGATTAGAATAGACAAAGTGCTTCTCAAGTTACAGACTTGGTCAAAAACTGAAGTGATTATTCTGTTTGGAGACTATGGTTGTAGTTACACTGTACAGACACTTTTATTTTACCATGAAATGTTGAGCAAGACAACATTGCAGAATGTTTGGATCTTAACCTCCCATTGGAAACTTAGTCTGGATGAATCTGAAAGCATATTGCTATTTCTAAAGCCTTTCCATGGAGTCCTGCATTTTAGGGACCACACCGGGGATGTCTCAGAATTCAGCCATTTCCTCCTGTCTTTAGACCCCTTGAACCCCCAAGGAGATGTCTTTCTCCCAGTATTGTGGGAATCTGTCTTTCATTGCAAACTCCACAAACCAGGCAAGATCCCTCCAAAGGGGGAAAAACACTGCACAGGAAAGGAGAATCTGCAGAATCTGCCAAATTACGTTTTTGAAACAAGCATGACAGGTGAAAGTTACAAGATCTACAATGCCATTTATGCTGTGGCACATGCTTTACATGCAATGTTTGGATCCAGAGCCCAACCGACCATGATGAGGCTTGGAAAGAGGATCTCAAATATCCAGTCATGGCAGGTAATTTCTTTGGCTTCCTTAGAGAGGAAGCTTCCCATATGCATTCCTTCAATTACTGATTAAATATCTGCATGTTATTATATCAATGCATATTAAAAACAATTATTAGAAAAATGTGAATTAAGAATAATGTTTTGTTGGAAGAGTTTGGGGGGGGAAAGAGATGCAAACAAAGGAGCTGTCCATAAGACCCATTGTTGTTGTTATTTTAAAATAATTTTTATTAAACAATTTTGTCTTTAAAAACAACCTAAAAAACAACCACAAATACATAAAAACAAAACTAAACACAGCAAACAATATATGCCATCTACATTCATTTTACAGCTTTCTGTATTGGCATATGTATTTTGCTTTTGTGGTTCTCTATTCTATCATATCTATTTACTTCTCGATAGTAGTATAATATCATTACATCAATGTATATATTAACCCATATAGTAGTATTCATTATTCTTGTCTACCGACTTATATTTATTTATATTCACATCTCTTTGTTTAATGTTTTTCAATTACTCCAATTTAGGTTTCATCAGTACTAAGATAAACATTTCCTGTTTTGGTTTCTATTTTCAAACCAACTATACATGTTATTCCATACTTCATAATAGTCCAAATCATCCCTCTCTTTTAGCTCCATAGTCATTTTATCCATTTCTGTGCATTCAAGAATTTTTCTAATTGCTATTTTGTCTGAGGGTAAATTATTTTGTTTCCAGTTTTGTGCAAATATGATTCTTGCTGCAGTGAGTATGTGTAGTGTGATGTATTGAAGTTTTTTATTCATTTTCGAGTCCAGTATTCCTAATAAAAATAGTTCTGGTTTCAAATCTGTTTTTTGCTCTGTAATTTCTTCCAGCCATTTTTGAATTTTGCACCAATATTTCCTTGTGATGGGGCACATCCACCACATGTGATGGAATGTTCCAAATTTGTGATTACATCTCCAGCATTTGGGGGATAAATTTGGGTACATTTTGGCCAATCTCGCTGAGGGCAAATGCCATCTATAAAACATTTTATAGAGGTTTTCTTTGTAGGCAACTGCTGTTGTAAGTTTATAGTTCCTTGTCCATAGTTTGTCCCACTGTTCTAATTCTTCCTGTCCTCTACCATCCCCTGGAGTCCATTTAAGCTCACACCTACTGCTTCAGTGACTCCATCCAGTCACCTCATTCTCTGCCATCCCCTTCTTCTTTTTCCCTCAGTCCTTCCCAGCATTAGGCTCTTCTCCAGGGAGTCCTTCCTTCTCATTAGATGGCCAAAGTATTTCAGTTTCATCTTCAGGATCTTGCCTTTTAAAGAGCAGTCAGGGTTAATCTCCTCAAGGACTCCCTGGTTTGATCGCCTTGCAGTCCAAGGGACTCGCAGGAGTCTTCTCCAGCACCAGAGTTCAAAGGCCTCCATTCTCTGGTGCTCAGCCTTTCTTATGGTCCAACTTTCACAGCCACACATTGCAACTGGGAAAAAGATAGCCTTGACTATACGCACTTTTGGTGGCAGGGTAATGTCTCTGCTTTTTAGTAAGCTATCTAGATTTGCCAAAGCTTTCTTCCCCAGGAGCAAGCATCTTTTAATTTCTTGGCTGCAGTCCCCATCTGCGGTGACCTTGGAGCACAGGAAAATAAAATCTGTCACTACCTCCATTTCTTCCCCATCTATTTGACAGGAATTGAGAGGGCTGGATGCCATAATTTTAGTTTTCTTAATGTTTAGTTTCAAGCCAATTTTTGCATTCTCTTCCTTCACCCACATCAAGAAGCTCTGTGGTTCCTCTTTACTTTCTACCATTAGAGTGATATCTTCTATATATCTCAGCTTGTTGATATTTCTCCCAGCAATCTTAATTCCATCTTGTGATTCATCTAGCCCTGCCTTTCTCATGATCTGCTCTGCATATAAGTTAAATAGACAGCCTTTCCTAACTCCTTTCTCTATTTTGAACCAATCAGTGGTTCCATGACCAGTTCTCACTGTTGTTTCTTGACCCGCATATAGGTTTCTCAAGAGGCAAATAAGATGGTTTGGCACTCCCATATTTTAAAGAACTTGCCACAATTTGTTGTGATCCACACAATCAAAGGCTTTAGCATAGTCAATGAAGCAGAAGTAGATGTTTTTCTGGAACTCCCTAACTGAATCTCCATGATCCAGCGTATGTTGGCAATTTGATCTCTAGTTCCTCTACCTCTTTGAAATCCTGCTTGTACTTCTGGTAGTTCTTGATCCACATACTGCTGGAGTCTAGCTTGTAGGATTTTGAGCAGAACTTTACTAGCATGTGAAATCAGTGCAATGGTGTGGTAGTTTGAACATTCTTTGGCATTGCCCTTCTTTGGAATTGGAATGTAAACTGACTTTTTCCAATCCTGCGGCCACTGTTGAGTTTTTCAAATTTGCTGACAAATTGAGTGTAGCACTTTGACTGCATCCTCTTTTACGATTTTGAATAGCTCAGCTGGAATATTGTCACCTCCACTAGCTTTGTTGTTGCTCAGATTTTCTAAGGCCCATTTGACTTCACATTCCAGGGTCTCTGGCTTGAGGTCAGTGACCACCCCATCGTGATTATCAGGGACGTTAAGCTTCTCCTTGTATAGTTCCTCTGTATAATTTTGCCACCTCTTCTTAAACTCTTCGGCCTGTGTTAGGTCCCTGCCATTTTGGTCCTTTATCATGCCCATCTCTGCATGAAACTTTCCCTTCATATCTCCAATTTTCTTGAAGAGATCTCTGGTCTTCCCAATTCTTTTTTTTTAATTCTATTTCTTTGTACTGTTCATTTAAAAAGGCATTCTTATCTCTTCTAGCTATTCTCTGGAATTCTGCATTCAATTGGGTGTATCTTTCTCTTTCTCTCTTGCCTGTCAGGGTTCCAAGTAACACCCCCAATGAATGAAAACTCCAAGGCTTGAGTTTCCTCAAAGTTGCATTTAATTTGAGATGTCATATTGGGACATCTGGGAAAACTTGAATCTGAAAGTTTCCAAGTTTTCTCCACCCAAAGAAAAGTTCAAGTCCCTGCCCAGCACCCGCAAGAGTCCATCACATGGTCCAATCAAACATTGTTCCAACTGGAGATGCCTCTCAGTTCCAGCCTTCCAGGTGCAGGGCAAGTTGTCCTTGACTTCTTGAGAAAGGAATGTTAGTATTACTATACATCACCCATGTTCCATACAATCCCCCCTCCCAATTTCCCACAGTAGTAAATGTAGCAGGTCTGAAGGCCTAATATAAAACATGGCTTCCAGGCCTGACATTGCCTTTCGCTTCCCTTCTTTCTTCAGCCACTTATAAAGCTTCCTCAGAGAACCATTTTGCTTTCTTGAATTTCTTTTTCTTAGGGATGGTTTTAGTTGCTACCTCTTGTACAATGTTGTGAACCTCCGTCCATAGATCCTCAGGCATTCTGTCTATGAGATCTAATTCCTTAAATCTATTTGTCACCTCTACTGTATATTCATCAGGGATATGATTTAGTTCATTCCTGAGTGCCCTAGTGCTTTCCCCTACTTTCTTCAATTTAAGCCTAAATTTTGCAATGAGAAGCTCGTGATCTGAGCCACAGTCAGTTCCTGGTCTTTTTTTTACCGACTGTAAAGAGTTTCTCCATCTTTGGCTGCAGAGCACATAGTCAGACTGATTTCTGTGTTGACCGTCTGGTGATGTCCATGTGTAGAGTCATCTCTTGGGTTGTTGGAAAGGAGCGTTTGCTATGGCCATCCTATTCTCTTGACAAAATTCTATCAGCCTGTGCCCTGCTTCATTTTGTACTCCAAGGCCAAACTTGCCTGTTATTCCAGTTATCTTTTGGCTTCCTACTTTAGCATTCCAATCCCCCATGATCATAAAGACATCGTTTTTTGGTGTTAATTCTACAAGGTGCTGTAGGGCTTCATAGAACAGGTCAACTTCATCCTCTTCAGCACAATGCTTGGGGCATAGACTTGGACTGCTGTGATGTTGAATGAGTTGCCTTGGATTTGAACTGAGATCATTCTGTCATTTTGGAGATTGTGTCCCTGTATTGCTTTTCCTACTCTTTTATTGACTATGAAGGCTACTCTATTTCTTCTGAGGGATTCTTGCCCACAGTAGTATACCTGATGGTCATCTGAATTAAATTCACCCGTTCCTGACCATTTTAGTTCACTGATTACTAAGATATCGATGTTCAGTCTTGTCATCTCTTGTTTGACCATGTCCAGCTTGCTTAGATTTATGGATCTTACATTCCAGGTTCCTATGGAGTACAGATATTTACAGCATCGGACTTTCTTTTCACTATCAGATACATCCACAGTTGAGCATCCTTTTGGGTTTGGCCCAGGGGTGAAATGCTCCCGGTTCGGACCGGATCGCCTGATCCAGTAGCAATGGCAGCGGGTGGTTCGGAGAACCAGTAGTAAAAATCCCTGTGCCCCCCCCTCCCCATGCCCAGCTGAGCGGTCATCAGAGGCTGTTTTTTTTTATTTTAAAAAGTATTTTTTCTACAACCTCTTCGGCCAAAAAAATGCTTTTAAAAGCTTCTGACGATCCCAGCTGAGTTGCCTGTCAGAGGCTTTTAAAAGCATTTTTTCTGCAACCTCTTCGGCTGAAGAGATTGTAGAAAAAATTGTTTTAAATGTAAGGAAAAAAAAGTTGGCCATGCCCACCCAGTCACATTACCTGCCCACCAAACGACGCCCATAGAATCGGTAGTTACAAATTTTACATTTCACCACTGCTTTGGTCCAGTCACTTCTGTTGTGACCCAGGCCCACATAGTTAGTATTAAATACAAAACAGTTCCAAAAAACAGATTTTATTAAATAGCTGAGAATTAACTCATTCTCAGCGTATAATCAATTAAATTGAAAGTAAAGTTCTCAAAACACCATTCCTCAGTTTATCTCTGACCTTGGGATAATTAGGCAAACTGCCAAATGTATTTCTTGGCAGCAGTTCAGGAACCGAAGATGCTGACAAGAAAGAAATACATCCTTTTTTCTGAGTTTGTA